ATTTTTGTGGGAATTCCAGGTTAATCTTATCGGATGGGCACCCTTCTAGAAATGAAATGATGTTTAGATGAAGTAAAGGAGTGCAAATGGAGAGTCGGACACCCTGAGGTCTGCCTCTGGTCATAAAAAGTACACTTGGGCAAGTTTGAGTTTGAGAATGTAGGTCACAAATTAGGGTGCATACAAGTTGCTAATTAACTCATTACCAACTCAGTAATCAGGTTATCTCCTTCCAAGCAACTAAGTGTAGACCAAGATGTTGCATGTGGAGATTGATGTACAGGTATGTCCATGTTTCTTAACAGTTTTTTTTAATAGCCTTTGTTGTGAAGAGTGTTACTTTAAAAAAAAATTATAATTGTGAAAAAGGAAATATGTTTTGGAGAAGTAAAGATAGAAACCCCCAAATAAGCAAGTGATGGTCACAAAGTTCAGGGGAAATTATTTTCGTATATATTTGAAGGATGATTGTTGGTTTCTTGTACAGTAATTTATGATGGAAAAATAAAATTCCCTCACTGGAATCAGAAATACCTAATGATACTGATATTGTGAGAAATTGTAGTGTGCAGAGGAAGAGAGAGTTCAGGCTGTAGGCGAGTCATAAAATATGAAAGTATACTTGATCAATGTAGGTCACTGAATGGGTTTGTAGGAGTAGCAAATTAATTCATCACCAACGGGATTTCCCCCAACCATCCATGTTAATAGGTCACATTGCTGTATTACGATAAATTGATGAATAATTTAACCATTGCATTCCTGGTTTCATCTCTTGTATTAAGTGCTATAGAAATACAGTGTTTTATTATTATTATTATTCTATACATTGAACACAAGTGTGATAATGAAGGTTTTGCACATGTTAGATAGAAAAAATATTTGCTTCAAGGCTCAAATCTGTTGAAGTAAACCGTTGTTCAGGTCCCAGGTTCAAGTCCCAGGTTCAACTGAGCTTGTCACAAAGGATTCACAAAGTGGTCCTAAACAAAGGAATGTAGATAGACTGTTAGGAGCAAGGTAGGGAATGTATGATGAGGTTTGATGAGGTGAATATGCCTACAGATGGCAAGGGAATGTATGAGGACAAATGAGGACAGTAACAATGACAGAGAACAGTTACTGGGGAAGGAAGGAATGAAAACATTTCAGGACAGTGAACCTGACGGTGCTTGTAATACACATCCCTGGTTAGTAATAATAAAACGGTGCTTATAAAGTGCTTTTCAATGAAGTCTTTAAGTACTTTTTCAAACAAAATACATTGACAAACAATTATATGTGAAACAAAATATTGCAAATAAATCTACAAATCTCAGTACATATGAAATATGATAAATACATCAATGTGAAGAGTGGAAGTTAAAAATCAAAAGCAATAAACTAAGACAAGTTTTGAATTGATTGACATGTAAAGGTAGTTTGTTCCAAAGTTCAGCAGAAGCTTTGCAAAAAGGGTGATGACCATAAGAAAGATTTAACACTGAAGTAGACATGTGGTTTAATTGTGGTTTAAAAGATGACCATAGACTGCGTGAGGGTTTGTTTTCCTGGATTAGTTCTTCCAGATAAATTGGCGCCAATTCATGAATTAATTTATATTTACAAAATGTCCAAGATACTCCCCTACAAAATTGATAATAAATATAAATGAAATATCCAAGTAGATGAACAATTTTGCAGTCTACACATATTTCTAATCAAAAGGGGATTACACATCTTATTATTTGTGTGGGCATATTATTGACACATTAATAATCAGAGCTTTAATTGCATGTTGGAAAGTACCAGCAGATTTTGAAATTGAACAAAAAAAATACCCCTACCCTCTCATTTAATTCCTCCACTTCATCTCTCTCTCTCTCTCTCTCTCTCTCTCTCTCTCTCTTCCTCCTCTCTACTCCCTCTCTCCCTCTCTTTCTCTTTCTCTTTTGTTTTCAACCCTACTTAGTGCCATTTTATTTTTCTTAGCTGATGTAATAATATTGATTACTTACAGGAATAATGATTATTCTATGTGCAGGTGCTATGAACACCATACAGCTCATGTTCTAATGTTTTAAGTTCAAAATACTGCTCCTTGCCATTGCTTGAACATCATTTGAAAGGACATTGAAACCCAAGTCTGAAGAACAGGAGCTTCCATTATCAAATGTTGTGATAACCTGTGGTTCATAGGAATTGGGTTTCAAGAATAATACTTGTATCAGACCGCTGTTGCTTTGATCATTACCGGTATGTGATTTTGTGTAGCAACAAAATTAAAACAATTACCGCAACGAAATGGGTTGATATTAAATTTGGATTTAAGGTAGAGTTGAATTCTGTATTATTGTGCTGAATATCAGATATATACAACTGTAATAGAAAAGTTGCATCTACAATATATTCATAGAATTTGAACTTTGAGAAGGTACATGTCTTTCACCACCTTGTCTCTCATTATCTCATATCTCCATAATTACTCTTTAAGGGGTCAGTCACTTATAAGCTATTTGGTGAGCTTAACACAGAAAATAGCAAGTATGATTGATACCAACAGCTGGAAATGCAATTCCAAGGTATTGAATTAATATTTTTAACCTGATGAAATGTGTTAGCACCTATTGCCCTGTTACAAACATGACCCTTGCTTCACCCCTGAATGAAATCCCAATGGGGAGGGGGGTTAAAACATTTAGTTGGTGAACGACCTGTGGTAGAGTGAATCACATCCAGTGGTGTAGTCACGGGTGGGGGGCACATGCTGCCCCCATCAAATGACAAAAGAAAAGAAGGGAAGAAATTTATAGGGAGAGGTGAGAAATTGAAAACTGGATGATGAAAGAAGACCAGTGCCGCCCCTCCCTCCCCCCCCCCCCCTCCCCATGATATCACCAGTACCATCTCAATGGCTGCACTCGATCAGTATGCCTCTAATCATTTCTATCTAGAATTCTAGATACATTAATGGGTTTAGAAACAAATGTCCTGGTCAGGATTAATGGATGATAGCATGTGCTGTAAACCATGAAAGATTGGCAGCTTTTGTCTGCTGTCAGGTGAATTGATAAACACACTCAATCCCTTTGTTCTCCAGAGTTATTTTTGTAAACAGCACGCTCAGGTACAGCCAGGTGTTTTTGGCTGCAAGCCAGGACAGGTAGAGGCTGTGGTTCAGTGGGTGCATTCATGCCCTCCCCCTCCCTCCCTCCCCTGTCAATCTGAATTTTGTATGCACTTTGTCCTTAACAAACCCTGTTATTCAGAATGGTGATTTGTAAGGTTTACATACATGTATATAGTTGTTATTGCATAAGAGTGAAGCATTCATTACAGTGACTTTGAGACTCTGCTAGAGGTCAACATGCCTCTCAACAAAAGGCATATTGAAGATCAGTCTCACTCTCAATTTCTTTACATTATTTTCTTTCAAATAGGAGTACACAAATGGGCTAAGTCACTGTTTTTGTTAATCATACATTAGTGTGTGTGCCCTTGTCTATTTTTGTCTTAATGATACCATTATCTTTTTGTTTCTCACAAGTTTCGGTATCAGCTCATTACGCCCCTCTTTTGTTCTTTTAAATGAACTTTCACCCACAATGACATATACGTAGTCCACACCTTTTGTACTCAACATTCAAAACTAAAACCTTAACAAAATATCAAGGATCTGTGAACTTTGCAGATGTATGACAGTCTTGAATTTGAAAAGGATAGCTCAAATCTGAAAATAGCTCATGGTCTTGATACCTCATCAATATGCATGGTATGCATATGAACTTTTTGAACTTTACAGGAATTTTGTCGTATTGAGAGATTGCCCAAGGATTGCCTGATATATCAATGCAAACTAGGCCACTTGCATACCACAGATGACAACTATGTAATATACATGTAATCTTTTTTAATCTGAATGTGGAATTCCTTTGAATGTGTGATTTAAGAAGCTTTGTCGTTTTTTTTAAATAGAAAAGGATAATCAAGGTACAGGTTTATTTTTAGTGATTGTATAATGCCTAGTATAATGTATAGCATTTCAATTTTCGGATTAGTTCATAATTACAAGAGAGTCCTTAATTTTGGAATCATAATGAATATTATTGTGAATTTTAATTGTTATATATTTCCACAATCTCTTATCTGTCCATTCCTTACAGAATAGATGTCCCTATTTGTCTTGTTATGCACCTCCCATTAATATCTAATGACGTGTAATGTAAGTTTGTTGTAATTGTGGTTATGCGGTTATATGGATCTATGGAAACAAAAACTAAATTCAGTCCAAGGTTTCCTTTGGTGTGGACTTACAAAGAAATTTACAAATTGCAACTTTGTTCTGGTTTCTCAGTCACACCACTAACAAATAAAAAGAATAATCCTTGTAGCTTAAACTTTTTGTAACCTTTGCCTAGGATTGTTCACCTTTTTTCTACCCCCTCCTCATTTTTTCCACAGAAAAGAAACTTATTTTTCATCAGGTTTGTGGTTAGAATGAACCATGATGAGAGAAAGATTGCCCCCTTGCAGGTGTGTAATGACAGGGTTTCTTTCTTTGTGAGTCATACCCCTTGATGAAAGAGAAATTGACAGGGCGAGTTTGGAAAGCGAAAGTGTCGTTGCTGACATTAATTTCAACTTTCGTTTCTTTGTCTTTTCTGGGATTAATGATTGCTTAATGTTATCAAAGTAGTCAGGTTCTAAGATGATGATGATTTCAGTAAAACAAAACATCTGCAGATCAATGTTTAGCAGGGTTGCCAGGAACTAACCAAACAGGGTAGGTGTTATAGTTTCTATTCTTACTTCTCTCTTAATCCTCTTGGGCACTTGGATTTACATAATTAACATGTTAATAACTGTTTGTAGAATTGGCCTGCCCAACTTGGCTTGTCTCCCGCCGTATGACGTAGACAATCGGATCTGCACCATTATTGGCCGACTACATATCACATGAGCTGATCATGATTGGTGGGACTGTGCTCCTCACTGTTGTCAACATGAATAATTCACGAGAGTAGTAAATGGGAGGGGCCTCCATCATGCAAATGAGCTTCATCCTGATTGGCTCTCCGCCCGGCCTTGTCCATCCGTGTTGTAAGCACTCCGGCAGAGGGGTGACACACAGTACGTGACCATGTGCAGCCGAGCGAGGCACCATGTATTACATGCAGAGTGCATGAGGGGGAGACAAAAACAAGCCACCACAGCTTCCCTGCTTCAGAATGGATCAGTCTGTTTACCTAGGCAGTGCCCTTGATGACTGTGTTGTGACTGCACACACCATTGTAGTAATCAGGAAGATAGAATAGATAGGGAAAAAACTGCTTGAGTGAATCATAGTAGTATAGTAGTAACCTGTCATTATCAGCTCAGCGGCATTTAGCAAGCTGCCTCCATACAGTCTGTGGATATATCTATTGACCTGTACCCAGCTGATCTGTGGTCTGTTTTTCATTCATTCATTCATTGTGCCGGGATTTAAAAAACTTAAAGGCTTCAAACTGCATGTACCAAGCATCTTTACCTCATGAACAGAAACTCTGCATATGCTGCTGCATTGGTACATTCGAGCTGGAGATTTAAAACTTGTACCGTCAACCCATTTATGTCTTGTGCCGGTATCTGTTTGACTTGGATGCCGCTTCGTGAGAGATTCTGTTGGAATGTTCTGGGAGATAAATATTCTGCTGTCGACTATCAAAGAGCTGCAGAGTTTTCGTAGAAATAAGGACCGAGACAAGAATTGCATCCTGTGCAAGGAACTAAAGTATTCACTCGGTAAGTGGTTAGAATAGAAACCCGGAGAAGAGATGTGAGGATGTCGATCGATTACTTTAAACAATATTTTATTCTTAAATATTTAATCATACAATTGACAGAAATTTGTATTTGAGTTGTTCATATTGCAAGGGCATCAGAAGATGTGACTTTGAATTTCTTTTTTCTGTAATACTTACAGTATTAAACGATCGAACATGCAGGACATGTGTGCTTTTATTGGCTGAGCCCCAGGTAGTTATGGAACTCTGGTATTCTTAGACTCTTTGAAATGGCAATTTTAAAAAATCTTGAAACTTTGAAAGGCATCTATGGTTTGGCTATTGAAATTTCTTTTTCAAGTTCATTATGATCTTATCTATAATCAATGGTGCCAATTAGGTACGGTTGTTAAGTGTCCTGATTTGTTTGTTTACCATCAACAAAGATACATGCAATACCTGATCAATATTCTTAAGGTCAAATCTGGGATACGTGCCAACTGTTTGGCCTTTGTCTATGGTCTGTAGCATCTAAGTTCCTATTGTCATAACCCCTGTTTTTCAAGTGATGACACGCTAAATATATTGATGTGGTAATTGTTGCTGCCCTTGTTATGGTTTTCTCGTAACGCCTTAGCGCATTAACAACTATTCTTAGAATTACCGGTGACCTAGGTTGTCTTGAATTCTGTAGGCGTTGGAGAGAGAGCGTGGCAGGCAGGCAGGCAGGCTAGCTGGGTTAGGGCACTGAACGTGAGGTTACTCACTCATTTTTTCTTTGTAGTGTTTACATGCATGTGTGTTTTCTAGGATTATGGCTCATTATGCATTCAGATCCAGAAAAAAAAAGGATTGGTGAAGGTGTTGAAATGGAAGTTGTCACCATTTATTATGTATGGGGTCATTGATTTTTTGGCATTACCTGGAAAATGATGTATTGTTTCCTCCTGTGGACTAGAAAAACCAAATCTATATTGGTTGCTAATTTTAGATGGAATATCATTGTGGAATGAATGAAAATATCTTTGTTCTTAAACCCAAGGACTTAAGTATTTCCTTGAAAGTGTTGTTTACAGATCAGTCTGCTTTTTGAGCCTTGCTCAAAGCTTTTCTATCTAAATTAAGATCTTATTCCCCTTAATTACATGTTTTTATATTAAAAAATATTCCCTGGAAACTGAAAAGAGTTTAGGAGACCAAGGCAAGGCCGATGAAATGGATGATTGTAGTTAATTGTGAAATGGACAAGGCTAAGCCAATAATTACTAGAATGATTAGGGGTAATTTCAGTTTATTAAAATCAATGTAATCCAGCATAACATGTCTGGTATCAATGTTTGATCATGTAAAGTAATACACTCAGAAAAGAGATTAATTTGTTTATTCTCTGCTTTGGATGAAAGATGAGTACAATGTTATATAGTAATGATTTGAGCTAAGTATTATCTCCAATAACATACTGTAGCATGAGAAAAATTATAGTCTCAATTCTAAAAAAAAGTTTTCAGATATTGTTTTTGCCTTTTTTTTTTTAATCACAAATGAAATGGAATAGAAAGGAAAAAGAAAGAAAAGAAGACGAGCCTATTGCATGTGACCCAGACAGACCAATCAGTATTTTACTAATGAATAAATAATGATAATTATACTGTCCACTCTTTGGATAGATAATGGAAAAAGCGCTATAAACATGTAAGACACCATTATCATTGACAAATGCGTTTGTTCAAGAATCAGTAGAAAATAATTTGATGATGAAAATAATCTACAGAGGGACAATGAGTCAAACTTGTCTTATTTTCACTTTCACTTGTATGTAGGTTAACTCGGTCACCTTGCCCACTGTCCGCACCAAGTGATATGCACTTGAACAAATTATAGCTATAGCAACATGTCTCAACTTGTCAAAAATATATGTACCTAACTATTTATATCGGCTGTATTGAAGCTTTTATCGGTTTTGGAACATCAGGAATGGAGAGAGAAGAATAACAAAAGACGGCAGAAGCTAGATACATCACAAGGGCAATACCCTCGGATCAAAACAAGTTGTCGATGGCGTACTAAACAAAAAGCTTGATTAGATAATCTGATCAAACTTGGATGGATAGCATTGAGATAAGGACAAACCTGATGAATAGGAATATAATGTCTATTTTAAAGATAAGGTCGTTGTCCTTCCAATGCCAAAGAGTGACATGGTAGGGGGGGGGGGGTAGAAAGTGAGGGGAGAAGAAGTGATTAACAGAACAGTTAACGTGTTTCATATTCCATCAATCAAGGCATTCACTGAGCAAATTGCTAGCCCGTGTGACCCCGTACTACATTTATGGGCAATTATCAGATTGTGTCTTCTTGGGCCTTCTGTGTATTCATTGCCAACCGATTAGAAAAACAGCGTGTCATTGGCACGTGAACAAAATAATGTATTGAAGTACGAAGAGAAAATAGTAGGGTCATTGTGTGTATTTACATGGTAGCCTTCATGAGGATTTCTGTAAATAGTGCACAGCAAATTACTCTTGTAACAAAATGCATTCAGTATGACTCCACCCAGACATACATGTACATATATGGTATATTTTCTCCAGTGCAGACAGTATGTATGCAAAGTGATCTCTCTGTATTTATTGATTGGTGAACGCATTGTATAGGTCTACATATTTTATGTAATGATTTTTTTTTTTTAATAGGCCTTTCTCCTGGTGTGTTTCCCATGCTGTATCCCATGATGTATACATGCAAGAACTCTCATCAAAATAGAAACTATCAGTTACTATGAAAAGAATCAAGTGGGTTTGGTTTTGTTTACATTCGTTTGCACATAGAGTTCAGTAAATTGTACCTTTGTGTTTATCCTCTATTTTGTCTTGTGTATCATCAATCGATACTACATGGTATTGGAATAGAACTGGTTAAATTTTTGAAAATTTGCTCACTTTTTTTTCTCATTAATTCAGACCTACTTGTACTTTATACACAAAGTTTACAGATGTATAAGATTTTGTTATTTGAATGCATACCGTACTGCAAAAAAAGTGTAAGGAAAGCGTGGAATACTAAAGAATATGTGAATTCCCAGGGTAGGCTATCCAGACAGCATGCGATTTGTTCCTATTTTGAAACTCATAATTAGCTAAATTTAGATTTGATAGAGAATTGGCGTATGATGTGTTCTTGATACATTGCTTTCATGTCTGACATACGGTCAAGCAATTAAGTTTCATCTCGTTAGTGTGACCTCTTGACCATGATATTAACACCATGCTTGAGTGGACACTGGTATCGGCTACCCTATCATCAGGAATGGGATTCATACTGGGGGTGTCATCCCTCGTAGAAGATTCTTTGTCATTTTCAAGCACTTTGGGGAGGAGGAGGGGCACAGACTCCGCAGAGTCATTCATAATTCACAAGCATACAAGATCTCACGGTGGTGTGTGTGGTCGTTTTTTCTCAATGTTGTTCTTGGAAGTTCATGATTGTGTGAGACTTGAAAGTGCATTCCCACTGCTGCCATACTGTAGTTCCTTGGGACGTATTGACTTTTTTTCTGAGCAACTCCCAACAGACATTGCATCAGCATAATGTCTCGCGTAGTACACAACATATCCCCTTACAATAAACATTGAAATCAACCTGTGCCTGTCCATCAGGGGATACCTACCTACCATCCATCCAAATCAATTTTGTGTTACAATGGGAACAGAATGTGTGTTCTCTTAAACTAGGTCCTGTAACCTTTTGGCCAGGGTAAGGTGTGAACACTTTCTCCTTAGGGAAATCCCCATAATGACTGGTCCAACAACGTTTGATTACCTCATTTGCTGGTAGATTGTGTGTCATAGACTAAGCACACCCAGTGGACAAATTGGATATGGATTAGAAAAAAATGATGTAGAAGAAGAAGCAGTTACACGAAGATATTTTACTGTGTTTCATTATTTATCTGTAAAATCATGAACAACTTTGGGGTTAAGAGTTGTATTTATTTTCAAATTTGTAATGAAATATATATTCTTACTATGTAATTTAGGTAGCCATTATTTATTGGGTTTGAAAGTGGTGATCCAAGAACGAAAAATATAGAATGTCCCATTATACTCTGGATCTAAATACTTGTTGTAGACATTTATGCTACTCTACTCTTTTCAAATCGCTCTGGTACCAGTGTGTGGACTGTGATTCTATTTCAGGATGGCACACACGACTCATTGATCATTATGAAGAGATGACCTTTGTACAACTCTTGTACAATATATGAAGTGCCTACATGTAAATACAAATATAGTTGCAGCACAAAAATATATGGGATATCAACAGTGAATAGTTCTTGTGTTATGAATATGAAACCATTGTTTTAATTTTGATAAATTCAAGTGTATTGGCTTTATTTTGTGCTGTCTTGATGTTCTGTAGTGAAGGCCTTCCTGTACATTTTCAATGAATCCACCAATCCATATTTAGTTCAATCTCATGCTGGCTAGACAGACTACCAGGTTAAATGCCTCAGGGAAGACCTAATCAAGGATAAACAGAGTACCCTGGTAGACCTCTCCATGAACCTTCTGTTCCTGTCAAGGAAGTTCTATTGAGTGTGTGTGTGTGTGTAGGGGGGGGGTACTTTCTGACCTTGTCCTTACTTCAGGTCACCACTAATCCAAGGGGATTAATTGGGGTGTGTTTTCTCCCTGGTCTGTTGAGCTGAGAGGATAATGCTTGGAAACTCTTCCAGATAAAGACAAACAGATTATCGATGCTGCATGATGTTAAAGATGAAATCAGGGGCTTGATATATCGGTTCTAGCATACCGTACATGTATTCTGTTTGTCTTTGTTGTGGCGGATTGGGAAGGTTAGGATTTAGGCTTCAGTTGGGGGAAAAAGCAAAGTTGTTCTGTATCAGGACTGTACAATAATAACAATATGTACATATAAATGTTCTACTGAGAATTATTGGGGTGTATAGACTAACAACCATATCATTGTTTGAGATGCAAGCTCTAAATGGAAAATTGA